GCCTCTTGCTATGCAACAGCCTGTGGCTGAAAAGTAATCCTTCCATTAATGTTGTCGCCATAGTATTCTTCACTGCAGTAAACACCAGTATGACTGCATGTTATTCTGGGGCCTCTGAGTTATCTTTAGCACTTGAACCCAGCTTAACTGCCATCATTTGTGAATTGGCTGAGGACCTGCACGCAAATATTTCTTAAATTAACTGATTAATAAAAAAGGAAAGAGAATGTAAGTACCCTGACATTGCTCAGTGTACCCATCACACAAGTTCTCATTAGCATAGAAGAAAAACAAATGTAATTCCACGTGATAAATTCCTCTCTGCCCAAAAGACAAAGAGTCTATAATTGTCACTCTTAGATCCTAACAGCGTCTATTCATCTGGAGACGGATTAAATTTATGTAAGTGAGAAGACTCTAGCAGCTGCTACAGAGTGTTGGTTTGTAATGACTGTCTCCTCTCTCAGAGCACACGGGTTGGAATGTGACACCAGCACAAGGCTGAGAGTCAAATGTTATCACCTGACCTTGGAAATGGCTAGTGATTCTACAGCATATCCATACCCAAGATACTCTATTTGCATTTAAAATTATCTTAATTTCAAAAGAAAATCTATGTGTACACTTATAAAACTACTACAAAAAATGGATTTTAGAAACAAGAGAACTAGTATACTAGAACCAGTATAGAAAAATTGTAGATATCCTCAGAAGAACGAAAAGAATGAAAGTGCGTTCATAGCTCTCCTGCATGTAGTGATTTCCAAAGGCCACAATTTGAGTTCTGTGTCACTGCCTTAAACCTCATCAACAAAACTGCACATCAGCTGAAGATGGATGACAAATATTTGGTTATTTAGACAAATGGGCTGGAGATGTGGCTCAAGCAGTTAGAGCACCTGCTTTGTGAGCACCTGCTTTGCAAGTGTGAAGCCCTGAGTTCAAACCCCAGTTCCACTCAAAAAAAAATTGTTGCATTAATGTTTTTTAACATTATATCCTAACTCAATTCTCTTCCCACAGAAACAAGTATCTTGTTTATTCTATAGTGGAAAATAAATCAGAATTTCCAAGGCTATTTGGAAAATAAACTGCTATCTAATCCTATAATTCTGTACAGCACAGGACTGGTTCCCAAACAGAGGTGTGCTGAACAGTCACAATGTTCTTAAAACCAATGTTGATCTGCTGCTCCAGAATTGTGTGGACACAGGACCTGAAAACCATCACAATATCATTTCTTCATAAATAGTGAAAAAGCTGAACAAAATGATGACACTAACATATGTATAATATTTCAATGTCATATTTGTAGGCTCCAAGGTGTTCAAGACTCTAGCATCCTGGCTCTTCCATTTACTATTTGCCTTTAAGCAAGTTTTTAAACCTTCCAGATCCTTGTTTCCTCATCTGGAAAATGGGTATAATTAATATTGCTTACTGTGTAGGCTTTAATTACATGGACTAAATGATGTTATCTGTATATAAATGCTTAAATAGTGTCTATACTTTGTAAACAGCAATGTCAGCTGTGTGTTACTGTCATTATTAGTGAGGGTTTACTTCTCAGACCTGGTCAGGTTGAATAATTGTGAGTGTAAGGTGCTATCACTACCATAAATAACCATTTTCTTTCCTAGAGTATATGACGAGGTTATCGATTCTGTTTCTATGGTTGATCCTATTTGAGGTGAAGTAAGATTCAGAGCAAATCATTATTCCTGCTTCATCTGGTTCTCATGACACTGACACAGAGAGAGACAGGAGAGACTGCCCTCATGTTATAGAGTTCAGGGAAGTAAGCTATTTGCTCAAAGTCACACGTCCAATAACTAGTAACAGGATTCAAGGCCATACTGTTCAACTTCTACTTCAGGGTTCCTCCCACCATTGCAGGATTTTCTAAGCTTCATAAGGTTTAATTTCAAGCATAAATGTGACTCTATGTGAATTAGCAGGAGGACCACGAATGGGAAGATGCAGTGCATTGATGTGGCATTGACTGTGGTGGTGTGATGCCTTCATCAGACCCTGGTGTCATCACTTCCACCAGGGAGACTACTGTGTGACCAGATGATGCTGAAAGTCCCTGAGCAGATTTCTCGCTACAATGCCAGAAACCATTCTCCCCATCCCACACCCATCTGCATGACTTCAGAGCCCCTTCCAGTTCTAACCTAGCCATAAACTGCTCTCCTTCCCTTCCTCCCTCCATTCCCTCTCATATTCCCCTTCTCTCTCTCTTTCTCTCTCCCTCCTTTACTCCCTCCCTCTCTTTCTTTTTCTAGAACCAGCCCATCTTATCCTCCTCTGTTGCTTTGCCATTGTTTAAGCTGGTTGTTCACAGGGAATAAAACACCCTTCTTTCCAACTCCAAATGGGCAAATTCAACTTTTCTTTAAAAGTCTGATTTTTAAAGCTATTTCTTCCATGAAAAGCAATTCAAACACACTACCCCACCAGCCAAAATCATCTTTGTAGTCCAAATCTTCTGTTTATGTAATCATTTGTTCCATAAGCTCTCTCTCTCCTCTCAGACCTATAAGTAGCTTAAGGCCCTGGTTTCATTCTTTATTCTTCACCAGCCACACACAAGGCATAGTACCTTGCACAGAGCTGGTGTTCAATGACAAGATGAATGTGGTGAGTGATCAAAGACCAGTCTTTAGGCAATGTGTCTGGCTTCTTCTCTAGCATATAACACAGCATGAGCAAACTACAATGAAGGGTTGAAGTAATTATACAAATAAACTTTTTAAATGAAATGATGAGGTTGGGGATGTAGCTCAGTGGTTGGGCACTTGCCTACCATGAATGAGGCAGAATGTGATCCCTTAATACCTCAAAATAAATCAATAAATAGCAATGAATAGACAACTCACATTTAAAATTGTTGTCAGATAAGAAATTAAAACTATTGTTAAATCTTTTTCAGATACATATCTTAATTCTCCATTTCACTCTATATGCATAGGGGAGGAACTTAGAGAACAAAAATTCTCAAACTAAGTCTTTAAAAAATAAAAATCTATGCTTATAGAGCAAAAAGGATTTGATTAACAAGAGTGCAAAAAACCAAGAGGAGTTTTAAAAACAATTGTAGTCCCTGTTTAAGCTTCCTGTTATGTAACAGGGCACCCTCTACTCTTAATCAACCAGAATATCTTTTGACTATTATTAATTGTTGTCAAGAGAAAGTGTGAGCTGGGATGAAGAAGTCTTTGAAGAGAACATAGCAGTCTCCACAACATTGCATAAATTGTACTGGCAATTAAAGAAAGAAAAACTGTGGGTGACAAAATCAGAATTGAATTGGAACTTTGTGATATTGCTTCTCTCATCCTAAAGTTGTGTCCTGGGCTGAACAGACTCTGTGAGTTACCCTTATTCAATTCTGTATGCCAGGGGCTGGGTGAGCCACAGCTGGTGACTACTGCTTCCCCCACAGCACTGGAAAACTTCAGTGAACAACCTCAGGTCCAGCGGAACGATTTATTTATTTATTTATTTATTTATTTATTTATTTATTTATTTATTATTGACAGGGAATCTCAAGAGAGATTCTCCTGCCTCAGTCTCCCAGGGATTACAGATGTATATCACCATGCCCAGCTCAAGCTAAACTCGTTATTCCATTTTATTTCACAAGAAATTATGGAAAAAGTTTATCTAGCAGAATCTTCCTCTGGAAGTCTCACACTGCATATTGACATATTGAAGATGATGAAAAGGCCTGTAATAAAGGACTTTAATAGTCTGTTGAACTCAGAAAGTTCCAACTCCATTTGACTATGAGCTTTCTTTCTTTTAATATTGAAATCTAGTTTGGAAAATGCTTAAAACCACTCTACAGGTAATAGCCAGATGACTCTGAATCTAGTTAAAAGGCAATGCTTGTTGCTCAGTGGAAGAATTAAACTAGAAGTGGGAACTTTCAAGTTTCTGACAACAAACTGTTAAAATGATCTGGAAATTTTACCTTAATATAGAAAAGTATATGTTTTTGAAAACAAGATAGAGAAAAACATATTTTAAGTCACAAACTACAATGGTCCACAGCAGTATATTCTTTATAAAAAGATTTGTTAATATGGTCCTCCATCCAATTCTATGTCTTTATGTATACAAGGCAAAGCAGAGAACAAAGTGATTACCCAGATGTTTCAAATCAACTTCTCTTTCTACAATTATATAATACATACTGTTCATTTTTACATAATGCAAACATACTGAGTTTGAATGTGGAACTGGGAAATTTGAGAGGCAAGGCATCTGAAAAGTTGTCATTAGTCTACACTGCTTAAAATATTTTACTAATAAACTGAGCCTTTATGCAGGTGTTATCATTAACCATTTTTAATATCATTAAGGATTGTCTAGAATACTACATGACAAAGAATACTGAAAATTCCCCCAATAGCTGAGAATTAACATTCCCCCATTGCTAGTTATCTCATTTACTACAAAAGATTTGAATACTATATACTGTAAGTGCACTCATTAAAGACTCCTAAAAATCAGGTTGGTCAGATAGAGAACATATATAATAAAATTCATAAATTTCCTTCTTCACTTCAAACATCTCCAGTTATCCAATTAAAATCCATTCATATCTATGAATATCCTGATCTATATTCACATTATCAATGTTTTAATTCAAAACTTTAAAATCCATGCCAACCCATAAAATGATCCATTTAAATTTAAATTTAAATGTCACTGCCTATTTCATCTTTTAAAAGTTGAGAACCATAAAAATATAAATATGCAAAATTCTCCCTTTCCAAAACACAGTTGGTAAATATGTCACATGGTAATACAGTCTGAATCAATGAAAACACATTCCAGGATTTCCTCCTTCTAAAATCTAGGGGCACCAGTAGCTGATAATGAACTTGTTTAACACTTGATGTTGGATTGAACTTTCTCCTCACTCATTCCATTTCAGTTTAGTGGTCAAAATGATCATGTTTCAAGGAGCCCTAGTGGCAGTGCCTTACCAGTGTAGATGCTGGCATTGGAAGCTGGAATACCAAACTGTGACTCGATGAACTTGGGAATGAAGGTAATGAAAGCAGTTACAATGGCACTCTCAGCTGTGTATGACAAACTCACAAAAAGGAATGTCATGTTGCTTAAGATCCTGACAGCTGCTCTTGGTAGGTCTACAAAATGACAAAAATGACAAATGAATGTTATAAACAATGGATGGAAAACAAAATAAAACTGAATTGTTTTTGAAATGAGCTGAAAATAGCAGTTTGGCAATATTTGCCATGAGAGAATAACAGAAGGATTGATGACAATTAGAAACTATCCTGTATTGTTAAGATTGGTTTTAGTTTGGTTTTTTAAATCTTCAACCAGGATATGGAAGGAAATAACTTATCTAAAAACATACCCATAAACAAATAAATAGAATACAACCTAGCCTTCTATTTTAAAATAAACTCTTTGCACTTTTCAATGATTAGAACACATTTTCTGTTAGGACCCCCAAAGTTTACTAAATGTGTAAAGTCCTAGTTACAGTTTCCACTTTGCCCAACTACCACTCCCCTGAGAAAATACCTTTCTGACTTGACATATCCTTGGCCCCACACTGCAGATGCCCACAGCAGAAGAAAAAGTATTTTGGTCATCTGTTCTTCCAACCTCACTTATGAAACAGGACATCAACATAGCTAAAGAAGCTGAAAGGGATGAGGCCACTTGACGCTGTCAAGTACTTTGGATTGGGGAACAAGAGCCATATCTCTCAAAGAGGAGGAGAGCCTAGAGATGGGGGGCTTGGCTCCTGCTGGGCCGCCCCTCAATGGAAAAAGAGAAGTCTCATCCTTGAGTGCAGGCATTTATTTCACAGAACGTGCCACAGATAAATGCGCAAATGCTTTCATTGCAGCATCATTTATAAACATACATACATGTGTATGTGGTAATATTTAAGTAAAAGTAAAACAAAACAATGATTTACATGTGGTCAAATGAATACGTTTTAACCAAATTCTTCAGGGCTCAAGTTGTGTGAACATGCCTAAGATTGAGAAAAAGAGGAATAAAAGGAAATCCTTGGTATATACTTTTGTATGTTTTGCAAGGTTATAATGTGAATTAATGCACATTTATGTAATCTTTACATGGAAGAGGTAGGCTGCACTATTTTTCACAATAATCTACTCAGAAAATAGTTAACTCCTCATGCTGCAACATAATAATCATTTCATTGGTTAAAAATTAACCAACAATTTTATTATAGCCTTCTATTCACCAAAATCTAAAACTTAGAAAGTAAAAGACATTTGCTATTATCATTTTAAAACTTAATTAAATTTCATGTTCTATATCTTAATTCAATTTTTAAAAGTTTACCATTTTAAGAAAAAAATTAAGATGCATACTTTCTTTTTTAACTTTATTATGGATAGACGTACCAGAGAAGGACAGAAGCAAAACACTTCATAAAACTATCCATTTTTTCTAAATAACACTAAATTAAAATGTCATACCAAAAATTTTTAAAGTTAGAAAGTTAATATTCTGAATCAACATTTAAAGATTGAAATTAAGTTTATTTGAAGATTAAACCTGGCATATTAAAAGCCAATGAGTTGAATCTCAAACATCTGTCAGAAATACAAAGTAAAAAATATAAGTACAAGATGATAGTATAAGTATCATGTGAATATTTTACTGATTTTTCTTTTAGACCCATTTGGTACAATAAAAGCCTTGTAGTTTCAAAGGTAAGTAAAATATACATGATGGTTCTCTTTTCTCTTCCACTAAAAAACCCAAGTCTTATGGTATTTAAGATGAGTTTTACAAAAGCTCAGACTTTCAACAACTCTAATAAGCTTCCCTCTTTCTTCCACCCTCTGTGTCCCCTTACTGGGGCTGAGATTTCTGCCCAAATGCCCTGCAGTAGCCAGGTGCACCTCTGCCTGGGGGCAATGGGCACACTTTAAATGCAGGAGGACTGAACTGGTAGATACATTGAAGAGTAATGAAAGTTTTCTAACTTTCAAAGAAAGGAGTTAGAAATATAGAAAGATGAACAGTTAGATATCATATTGGATCTAGAGGTATCAGGTAGGTAGAGAAACAGATTTGGTGATAGATTAGATAGATAGATAGATAGATAGATAGATAGATAGATAGATAGATGATAGATAGAATAGATAGATAGATAGATAGATAGATAGATAGATGGATAGATGTGTGTATGTGCTATTTGCTAACTGTCTGTTACCAGGACTTAGAAGTAATGACATGCTAGTAGGAATGACACCACCGAGCACACAATCTTTGGTTTCTAAGTCATTTTCCATTAAAAGGAACCAGAGAATTGTCTAGCTTCAGAATTGGGGCAGAGAAAATACAAGATGAGCTTCGACTTGTTGAACAATAAAGAAATGCTCATAGAATGATAGAGACATGTCACAAAGACAGTTTGAAGGATTTCCAGTGGATGATCTGACAATGTCAGCTCAATGGATTCTAAAAGCAGTAAGTGAAAACCTAATAGGAACAAGACTAGATCCTCATTATTTGTGGATTTTATATTTGCAAATTAGCTAGCCTATTTGCTAAAATTTATTTGTAATCCCAAAATTAACCTTCAAAGCACTTTCAAAGTCATACTTAGGGCAGCAAAAACTTGAGGAATCCCTCTCATCTGTTCCCAGCTAAGTAGAACAAGACATTTGGGCTTCTTGTTTCAGTTGTATTATGTGAAGTGAGGGTCTTTTTACAATATATTGTCACATTGCTCTCATTGTGTTTTTGGTGGTTACTTTTCTTACTTAAAAGTCTCCTAAGGCTGGGTGTTATGGCAAACACCCATAATTCCAGCAAGTAGGAAGTAGAACAGGAAGATCTCCAGTTCCAAGCTACCCTGGACTACATAGTCGAGACCCTGCTTCAAAAGAAATGAAATAACAGAAAATAAAATGCCCCTGAGGGCAGTGCGGCAGTGCTGTGGAGGGTTCCTAAACATAAGTGGTTGTGGTAAGCTGGTGGGGAAACTGCACATCAGAGAAGCTTCCTGCAGGCATGAGTTACAGTGCTGTTGGCTGTGAGATCAAAGTTAATGAATCAATATTATATATTAAATAACCAGTCCCTGAACAGAACACACTTAAAATAAGGTTACATACAGAACTGTCGATGATCATGTTCCTCCTGTATCTCCCCTAGGAGCAGTGCTACCACCAATAATGGGAACTGCCTGAATTCACCTCACCTCAAAATATTTCCCTAGAAGGTGCTTATAAGTTACTTATTGATTTATAATTATGTTTATTAACTTTAGCATGAAGAAACCTAGCAAATACAACCATATCCATTTCTAAGGTTTACCTAACTAGTTTTTGGGCAAATTAACATCAACTGCCTCTGTTAGGATGTACGAAGCATAGCACCATTTTGGTGGTAGGCCTACAAAAGTACATAAGTCAAAAGACAATATCAAACCACAATTGAGGAACACTCTACAAAGTTAATGACTTGTTCTTTTTCAAAAGATCAAGGTTGGGAAAGATGAGAAAATGATCCAGATTGAAGGAGACGAAAAGACACAAAAATGAAATATATGTTGTCCTGGATTAGATCTGGAGTATAAAGGGCATTGTGGGATAACTAGCAAGATTAGAATGTGGCCTGTGATGTAGGTGGTAGCACAGATACAACACAAATGTCCCATTTTTGATGGCTGCCACTTGGTTATGTAAGAGACTGTCCTTGCACTTAGGAGAAGTGGAACATCATGTCTGCAATTCCCAGAAATGTTCTGGATTAAGGAATCATCACAGGGCACAGGGTACCAGGAGCTCTGTGTACTTTATCCTTTATATAAATTCAAAATTATTTCAAACACCAAGTTTACAGAATTAAGTCAGTAAAGAAGTTGCTAAATCCATGGGCTTACAACCAAATACCTTATTCTTATGCTGCAGAATATATTTTAGATTAGTTTCCTGCTGTATTTATAACTATGTCATTGCAAAATCAAAGATGCAATTAAGAGCATGATGAAAGAGAAATGATGAAATAATAATAGGGATTATAATTTTTGATCATTTAATGCTAATAATCTTACAAAGTCAATGTTAAAAGCAAGCTGACACTAAGCCAGGAAATTCCTTAAACAGCAGTAACATAGGAATAAAATTCAGTAGAAAATACCGACATTCAAGAGAATGCAATCTACAGTGGACTGTACCTAGAAATCACCCGTAGAAGTGCTATCATTACCATTTGCCAGGTCCTTCACTCCTTCTACATGGACATCAGTAGTGGTACAGATGGCCCCACCATCTTGTGCACCTGGACCAGGTACACTCCAGTCACAACAGGAATATGCTGCAATGAATTTGATGTGGTCTCTCCCAACTCTGCAAGCCTTTACTCAAGGTTTCAGCAAGGTTGAGATGCATGGTGTAAGTGGGTTACTGTGAAAGCTGACTAGGGACAGTGTTTCTGAGAAACCAAATAAGTCTTAATGGGGCAGACACCACCATTTGTTCTCCTCCAAAGCCTAAGAGATCACAGAATAATAGGAGGCAGCAGGATTGATACATTTGTTAATTTTTTGACCATTGGGCAAACATGCTTCAGCACAAGTGAATGTTTTATACACATTCATAAAATAAGACTACAATTTAAAGCATCTATTAGGTTAAAGTCTCTGCTTAGAAAAATGAAGCTTTAAGTGAGCACCAATTTCAGCAAACCTGAGAGTCATTTTTCAAGTGGGCAAATGAAGGTATTTAATGGAAGTTTATTTAGTTTAGTGAGAAATGCATACCATTGTGGAGAAAGGTCTATGAGCACCTAGCATATGGGGAAAAACCCTCACCATAGTTTCTCTTGCTGAAGCTGTAGGGATTTTCTCATGTGAACAGGGAAGGGGTCTGGACTAAAAAATGCCACCTGCAGGCAGCCAGAAGAGGCCACGGGATGACCAAGACAAATTATGTGAGCAGATTGGTGAAGCCCTTCACTTTACTTCCCTTACAGTGTTTGCACTTGACACATGCAAAGGAAGAACTAGGGGAGTCTGAAGAAGGAGTGATGGAGAGACAAAAGTAAGGAAAAGGAACTGAGCTTTGGCTCATAGCACAGTAAGTTCACGGAGCAGCTGCATGTCTCAATGGCAATGGGCACATTCCCATCTGCAGGGGCTTGGCTGCCAGGGCCTCTGTTTGCCTCTGAAGCCTTAGTCTAGAACCCCAGGATCTCAGATGCCTGGCTTAGCTTCTGTCTTTTGCAACCTGAAAGCTCCTTTATTATACCTTTTGCTGTTGCTGTAAACTCGTGAAACATTTTTTTAAATACTATTTTTGAAAAAGATCTGTCAACAATGGTATTGGCCAAGCCTAAGGGAAGAAATCTCAGCTACCATGCACTCTAACTTACATACTGGGCCCTACAGGATGGAGTTCCTGCCAGCCCTTCCAGGCTGAAGTCCTGTCATTGGCCAGTCACAAGCTTCATGCATGGCCATGATTCTTCTCATCTCTGTACTGCTTATAGTATTCCCCATCAGTACTCAGCAAATGTGAAACTCATCCATTGATCTCCAGATTAGCACTCTCTCCTGTAGGGAGGGAGCTGTCCACAGTCTCCCAGGCAGAACTGGGGGCCCCTCTCTCTTCTCCCTGTGCTCCCAAGTGTTCTCTGGCACTTGGTCCAGTCATCACTTCCTCTGTAGCTGCAGGTGTTTACTTCTCTGTTCTCTTCGAGAGACAGTAAATGCTACAAAGGCAAGACCTGAAGATACCTGTACATCTTTGGCTGCTAGCATATATCTAAATACTCAAAAAATGTACTTGGGAAGAGATGGGGGTGTGGCTCAGTGGTAGAGGATTTGCCTGGCATGCATAAGACCCTAGGCTTGACCCGTAGCACCACCAAAAAAATTAAGTTTAATTAAATACATGTTTGGAATATATTTATTCATTAAAATTCATTATTACATCATAACAATAATTTGTGCTAAAACAATGTATTTGTATACTTGTGAGAAGATGAAGTCCAGTGCACAGATATAATTTCCTCTTGGGGAACAGGCTAGGTGTTGAGAAATCACGAGTCAGCACGTAAAGGGTACTGCCAATTGGTGGGCCTACCAAAAACACTAAAAATGTGGAGATCAGAATACATGATTCTTTTTAAAGCACGGCTCTTTAAAGGTAAGGACTCCTTAATGGATTTAGATAAGATTATAAGCTAAAATGTTCATTAAAGACAAACTAAAATGATATCAGGAAGAGGAATAAATACTCATTTATATAATATTTTATTTATCCAGCATATATGGGAAACAGGTATTTTGTATGGTTGAATTTTAGAGAACTAAACAATTGCTTCTGTAAAAAACAAAGCTTTAGGGATTTTTGGTGTATTAACTGGTAACACTAGACAATATACTCTAATTTGATATTGTCTTCAGGATTCAGTCATAATTATGAATACCAATTTCCCTATGCTAATTAATTTTACCATGTTTTTCAAATCTTCCATTTATTTTCTTACTTTTTTCTGGTTGCATCAGAATTCCTTCCCTGTGAACTATGTGCATTTCTTTTTACCTGCAGGCATTCTGCTTCCATGGTAACTTTTCTTTGTTACATTTCTAAAAGTAAATATGAGCTTATCAATTTTGTTCTTTTGATATCCTTTTCATTTTTAATTGAAACCGTGCAGGGGTGGTAGGATAAGTAGTTCTTGTTTTATTATTATGTAAAATAGATGCATTATTGTTACTGTGAAGCAGTTGAGTACATTTTATTACCTGGAAACTTATATATCTGTTCAGGAATAAATAATAAACATTAAATAGCAGATAAACACATTGACCTTACTTAATATTTTTCATGATTTTTATGACAAAGCTATTTTCAGACATACTATCTCTTCTTATAGGAGAAGAAAGGAACACTTATCTGACATTCAGCAGCCCATGTGGTTTATTTTTCCTACATTTAAATCCAAGTAAAATGCACACCTTTCTAAAAGAATAATTTATTGGGGTAAAATTCACATGACATAAAATTAACTGTTTAAGAGTTAATGATTCAGTGGTAGTATAGTCACAATGTTGTACAATCACTGCCTCTACCTAGTTTCAAAACATAGGACTAGAGGTGTAACTCAAGCATTTGAGTGCCAGCTTTGCAACTGCAAAGCCCTGAGTTCAAACCCCAGTCCCACCAAAAAAAAAAAAAAAAGTTAGTCTCAAAATGTAAATACGTTTTACTATAAAAAAAGATAAGCATTTATTTTAGGAATAGGATTAAAATTTACTTATATTGTATCTATTCTTTATTTTCTATGTACTTAGTAAAATTTTCTATCATGAACATGTATTAGTTTTATGATCTTAAAACAATGAAACTTTACAAGGCTGAAGAAACATCATATACTGGGACAAGCCTCCCGGATTCAGTCTTCCCCAACCTAGGAATTCCTTCCTCCTCTCCCCATTTTAAGACTTAGCATGTTATACTGTTTCTCCTTAGTCTTTTTTCCTTCCTGTCTCTCTTTGACAGCAACAATGTTAACTTTTCATATACATATCCTGAGTTCTTAGTCCTGGGGTAGTTGCTCAATAAAGATATTTCAGAGAGAGAGAGAGAAAAGGAAAATTTCTGAAGCTCAATATTTCCAGCCATTTATCTCAATAATTAAAATGATACTTGGTACAATAGTTTGGAACTGCAGTGCTCCCCAAAGTCCCTTGTATTAAAGGCTGATCACCAGCCTGGCGTGCTATTGGGAGGTGGGACCGACTAGGAGGAAGTTAGGTCTTCGGGGTGTGCCCTTAAAGGGACCTGACCTCTTCCCCCCTCTCTCTATTGACTCTGAGCTTGCTCCCACTATGTGCAGCCACAAACCCAAAGCAACAATTTAAAGTTGAAATCTCCGAAACTGTGAGCTAAAATAAAACTTTCCTCCTTATAAGTTGCTTTATTTCAAGTATTTGTCACAATGGAGAGCTGTCTAACACATTTGGGGACGAATCTAGTCCTTTCCTAAAAGTCTTAAACTATGCCAATTTCTTACGTAAAAGTAGCTTGAGGGGAGAATTATTAAGAAGCAGATGAAAGCAGTTCAAATGGACTAAAGTCAAACAAGGCATAGAATTCACATTGGGCACAAAAAGAAAAGAGTAAACAACAGGAAAACCAAAATAGATGATCATTGCTATCTAAAAATTTGGAGTTTTACTGACAAATTATAAAATAATGTGATGTTGCCAAGATACAGAATTTAGAGGACTCCCAAGATGGAGAGAGAGAAGATGGTGTGAAGAAAGGGGCAAGGGGTACGGCATTGTGATCATGGTTAATGAAGCCAGTGGGCAAATACTCCAGGTTTACTACATAGGTTTCTATATCAATTGTGCTTTTATCTTCAGTATTTTACAATGTCCTGACATATTAAAAGTCTTGCTGAACCAGGAATGGTAGCTCAAACTTGTAATCCCAGCTACTAGGGAGGTGGAGATCCGGAGGATTGACGTTCAAGGCCAGCCCAGGCAAAAAAATGTTTGAAACCCCATTTCAACAAAAACAGCTGGGCATGTGGTGTGCACCTGTCATCCCAGCTATAGTGGGAAGTATAAAATAGGAAGATTGCAGTGCAGGCAGGCCAGGGCATAAAGGAAGACCCTATCTCAAAAATAACCACCATAGAAATGTTTGGGAGTGTGGCTCAAGTGGTAGAATGCCTGCCTAGCAAATGGGAGGCCCTGAGTTCAAGCCCTAGTACCACCAGCAAAAAAAAGAAAAAAAAAAGATTCTTGCTAGGTAGAGGGTGGGGGGGA